CAAATGTACCAGAAAAGGATGATACGAGCATATGACAAGAAAGTCAGACCTCGAGAATTTTGTGAAGGCGATATGGTGCTAAAAAAGATCCTACCTATGCAAAAAGACTTTCGAGGGAAGTGGATGCCGAACTGGGAAGGTCCCTATGTTGTAAAAAAGGCATTCTCAGGAGGAGCTTTGGTGTTAACAGAAATGGATGGAGAAATTTGCCTAATCCCGTGAATTCCGATTCGGTCAAACGATATTACACTTAAATCAATCAAAAAAAAATCAAAAAAATCAAAAAAAAATCAATCAAAAAAAAAGAAAAAGAAAAAATTAAATAAAGGAGGGTTCAAGATGAAAACCCAAAATGGGGTCTTGAAACCAAAGAGGATTCGAGTTGAAAATCCGTAATGGATGGCTCGAATAGCCAGAAGTTGAAATGGCGGATTCCCTCGGAAGCCTGACAGTTCAGGGAAAGACTCTCATGCTCACACATCTTTTGTACGATCTGAATCTTCGAAACACATGTCAACTTTCAAGAAAGATTTGGGGTGAAGAACTAAAAGGATTCAGCATTTGATATTCACTATATTTGTCCTTTGATCTTCCTTTGTACTTACTTGTTTCTTGTCCCCAAAAGATTATAATTTCTCATTGCCTCTTTTCCATGAAACTTGTCAAATTTGATTCATTGTCCTTGTATATATTCACCAAATTATTGATTATTATGCCTTACTCTGAAAAGTGTCAGAGTGTGGGGATTTTGAAACAGGTGTTCGCCAGAGAGCACATACAAAGGCACGCTCCCATCAATCATTAAACAAATCATTGAAAAAAAAGGGTTTAAATCAAAGAAATCAGTTTCAACATAATCATACTTTTCCCAAGCAAAGAAGTCCCAATTTAAAGGCATGCAACAAGGAGAGGCCATTCTGAATGAATTTTCTCTGAAAAATCAATCAATGACCAAATAATCAAAGAGGCAAGATAAACTCTCTCGGGGTAGATCGGAGGGACCAAGTCAAAGAATATTTAATGAGAGGTCAAGAAAGTAACCAGGCATGGATAAACACATAAATATCGCATGTTCCGATCAAAGAGTATGAGAGATTCTCAATGCCAGGATCAAACTGAACATAACCCTTTAAACATGCATTTAGATCATTCTTAGAGCATATTGATAACATGAAATCATGGCATATGACCATTTTTACAGGATCTTCAAGATTTATTTCATTATTGAAGCAATGAATCAGTCAACATCAACTGACCAGATCTCCTCGACACGTAGGAGAGTGTCAACATTAGGATAACCAGCCGTCCTCATCACGTAGGAACCGAGTTATCACCCTTCCTAAAGATGGCCAGAGTTCTTCATCATGTATGAACCATGTCATCTACCCTTAGATGACCAGACTTCCTCATCACGTAGGAGCCGTGTCAACCTTAGATAATCATCCGTCCTCATCACGTAGGAACCTAGTTATCACCCTTCTTAAAGATGACCAGAACTCTTCATCGCGTATGAGCCGTGTCATCCCTTGACCAGATTTCCTCATCACGTAGGAAACGTGTTTCCCTTAGACGACCAGACCTCTTCATCATGTATGAGCAGTGTCGTCCCCAACAACCAGCATTATCCAATTTCTATGGAAAAAGGGAGAACCAGACAAAAACATGTTGTCTTGTCGTCTTTGCCCTATTCTTGTTAACACAAGTATGTGCAAAGAGGGGCAGCTGTAGACACCCATTTTTGTCCAGGTCTTTTATATTTATTTATTTATTTATTTATTTTTTTATTATTATTATTATTATTATTATTTTTATTATTATTAATATACAGGTTACATTTTTGTAGGCCACTATAAGACCAAATTTGGAGCCCACTAGCTATCCAACTCAGCAGGCCTAATCCCGAAGCCCAGCAGGTACATCAAGCCCAACTACCAACCCAGACCTGTGGCCCAGCAATCGACCCAAACCCGCTAGGGTTACCCCTTCTCTGCCTCAGCGCCGCACCATCAAGACCGTCTGATCTGGACCCATCCAATGGTCCAGATCAAAGGTCATTTAGGTCTGAAACCCTAACCCTAGTTCTGAGCCCTAACAGCTCAGCCACCAGCCGCCTCTTGGCTTTCCGTCTTCCTCTGACGCCGCCACCATCACTGTTCTGGTCTGACCCCAACTGTTTCACTATTGTCATCTACAGCAAAACTAATCAAGAAAATATATCATACAGTTCAAATCTCACAAAATCTAAACTCCAAATTAAAATACCAATAAATCCCTAAATATTCGGGATTTCTATCCCACCAAATCAGAAAAAGCCATGCCCTACACTAGGTATCATCATCTCACCAAATACTCAACAAAAATCAAGGGAAAACGAGAGAAAGGAAAAAACGAAAAAAGATAGACAGAGAGAAGATTCGGGTTGAGAGAAAAAAAAAGAGAGAAATAGAAAGGAAAGAAAAGGGAAAAAGAACGATACCTGCAAAAAACGGAGCCCTTACCCAACTCTTCGGAGCAGTGAGGAACCATCCCAAAGGTAAAGCCTTTTCCTCTTCTAGGGTAGTTAGGGTTTGGAGTGCAGTGGGTTTTGGGGTTATGATTCACCTAGGATTTTTTTTAGGTGAGAGAGATGAGGTTACTCCCCGTGGCCACCGATCTATGGTGGCCGGGGAGTTTAGGGTTTAAATCCCCGGTTGATAATGAGGGAAGGAAGGCGAAGAGGTGAGGGTTGAGAGCCATTTTGGCCCTCTGTCTCTAGAAGGAGAGGGAAGAAGGAAAGGTTTGGGGTTCTCTAGGGCTTTCGCCGCCGATTTACGGCGTTGGTGACCTCTGTTTTTTCTCCACGGCGGAGAGAGGCGGAGGATAAGGGAGAGAGGTGGAGAGCCTCTTTGGTTCTCTGTTTTCTGGAGAGAGGAGGAGATGTGAGAAATGAGAGATGTCACTGGGGAAGGGTCTTGGGTTTAGCCTTATAAGCTGAGTCCAAAACGGCGCCGTTTAGGTCGAGGACTCGGTTGTAATTTCATCATGGGTAAACTGTGTAAAAGGGGCTCCCAGGTTTTGAACGTTTATGATGTAGCCATTTATTGTATTTTATTTATTTTGTATTTTATCCCTCAAGGTTGTAATGTTTATGTATTGGTCACCTTGCAGTAATGTTTTGTAAGTTTCAACATTTGTACTCTGTGTTTATAATGCTCACATTTTGCTCACTGCTTTTCTGTTTGGTTTAAATACCGAATTTGCATTGTATGTTTCATTTGTTTTATTTTAGTCATTTGTTCATAACATAGAAAAGTATTAATTTACGTTTTTAAAACCTAAGTTTTTTTCGAATACAATTTATAGTCACTGTGTAAATTTTGTATGGGTTATTTACTTGCTTGGTTATGGTCATTTTGTTTAGGTTTGTTTAGATACTTTTGCTAAATATATGTATAATTTATTTTTACTTATGTTATTGTTTTTACTTATTTATTATATTTTCTTTAATATTTGTGTTTAGTATGAGTTAATATTAGGAAATATTTATATAGATATATATGTTGGTTAATAGTCACTATTATTTATATTATTGTGTGATATGGTTAAGCTTACTTATGTTATAGACGTTCACTTTACTTAATAGGTACTTTAAAATTTTATTTCATATTTATTACTTTTATTTATTATTTTTATAACGTCCAATATGTTAATGTATTTTTTAATAATTAACTATATAGGTTTTAGATGAACAAAGTATGATTTACTTTATACTCATCTCGATATAATTTGGTGTTAATTCAAAGATAGAATATACTTTATAGATGAAAAATAGACGAGATAGCTTTCCCGATGGAGGATTGCAAATCTCGGGATTTCTCACCAAGTTAAGTATTTCTATTATTTTAAGTAATATTCAATAAATAAATCATAATTGATTTATCATTCTATTTTTTATAATTTTTATTGTATTAATGATCTCTATGTTAATATTAACAATACATGTTTTAGATAAATTAAGTATGATTTATTTTATACTCTTGTCGATATTATTTGGTAGTAATTCAAAGATAGAATATACTTTATAGATGAGAAATAGATGAGATAGCTTTCCCGATGGAGGATTGCAAATCTTGAGATTTCTTACCAAGTGAAGTATTTCTATTATTTTAACAAATATTCAATAAATAGATCATATTTTTACTTCTGATTCAAACTTTAAGTTCTATCATTTACGACGATATATAAGCGACTAAGTACCGATTTTGGGCGTTGTGAGGGGTGTTTACCCTTCCCTCCGTTTAAATGAATCTTTGGTAACACAGACCGAATCTTGTCTTTAAAAAAAATGATTTTTCTTAAAATTGTTTTAAAAGACGTTTTTAGGTATTCGACCTACCTAACCCAAAGGTCGATGGCGACTCTTTTCAATTTTATTCAAATCAATTCAAAATCACCCATTTTCCAAAATAAAAGTCAAAATTGTTTTTTAAATAATAAAAAAAAAGTTTTATAAAAAATGGTTATGACATATATTTTTGATCGTACGAACTAACTTACCTCAGTGGTTAAAGGAATTGTTGTTTTATCTATTGAGATTATTAAGAAGCTTTATGATTGTTTTTTCTTTAAATAATTATGTTCCCTCTCTATACATAGACACAGATAGGATCTAATTACACAATGTAATTTTTTTTTTAATTTTGTACAGATTTATGATTATTTAATAAGTGAAAATGGATTGTTGAAATTAACAATAGAAAACGAGATAATATTAACCCAAAGAAAATCAAGGATTTACAAAAAAAAATATTTTTATACATAAAATTTAAATGTCTAAAATATTATCCTGTATATATATTTAATTTGTTTTATATTAAATAAATAATTAAACTTTTTTTAATTTATTTAAAATAAAATGTACATAATTTATATAAATATATATATAAGATATGAAATTTGAATTATTAAAATATTAATCATACAACAAGTTATAAAAACTTATAGAGCTACTTTAATTTTATAATATAAGTAAATCCCAACTGATAAATATGTATTCACCATCTGTAGCACCCTTTAAGATGAGGAAAACATATAATTTTCCTAGTAAATTTGTGTTTGTTTCTCTGCATTTTTCTCACCCGTGATAAGCAATTGCGGTTCATTTCTTCATCTTTTTCTCTTATAGGGATCCTGTCATCTTCCTTATCTATGTTTGCTTCTTCTTTCTCCTCTTTTGTTACCTTCACTTCAACCTGCAAAACACATTATATCGATCAATTTATGTGTTCATCTATGCATTTTACTTTTCTAATCGTGATAACTTAAAAAAATCTAGTTGCTTTGCTCTATTTTTGTTTAGATTTAAGTATAACAATTGGATATGAGAATGCATTTGATAAAGATATAATCTTTTTAGATGTATTTTGAGGATTTTTAGGATATCGCATGTTTAAATATGTGTCAAACTTAAAACAAAATCAAAATACAGGAGAGCATAAATTTTGAAGAAAATAGAAAATATACTTTATATTGACGTATTGTAGGAATCAAATTGGAACTTCTATTATGGTTAGGGATGGATCGAAGGGGAAAGTTAGGTTGATCGTTCTCTAAATTTTCAAATTTTTCTATAATTTAGATTTTTTTTTTGTATTTTCTATTGATAATATGTATTTTCCCTTGAAATTTTATAAGTTTTCTTTTCTCTAAATTTAATAAATCCATCCCTAACATAAAATCATGTCTCCGTGGTATTAGTATCTCTCTCTCTCTCTCTCTCTCTCTATATATATATATATATGGAGTAATAATTTATATTTTTAAAGTATCACAACTCTCACTTTTATTCCTTTTTGGTCACTCAATTATTTTTTTCAGAATCATACTTAACATAACGTTTTTGTTTCATTTTGGCCATCTATTGTTAAAAAAGTAACAGAATTGCTGATGTGATATTTTAAAAAAAACGATGATGATGTAACATTATTTTATAATGATACACCAATATTATTTTTTAACGGTGGGTGACCAAAATGAAACTAAAATGTAACATTATGTATAATTTTGAAATAAAAATAGTTGGGTGACCCAAACAAAGAAAAGTGATAGTTGAGGTACTAGACATGTAGTTTACCCTTTAAAATATTTATGTATTATATTATATTTATATTATTTTACTGCCATAACTTATTAGTAATGTTTTTTAACCAATGATTGGTAATGTTTAAGTTCAACTATTGGTACAGGAAATGAGACTAGTGTCTCAAGCTCAATTATTAGGGCAGGAAAAGAGCGTAGCTAGGGGCATAACATCTAAGACTTATGGGGACATATCATTTATGATTTATGTTCCATAAAAGCCACACCAATTAAGACATTAGTCCCCTACCTAGGAAGGACACAACTCAATTATTTATGCAAGAAAATAGGCTAGTTGGGGCATAACATCTTAGACTTTAGTAAGATTAAGTACAATTGATAATAATTTAAATAATCAAATTGAATTCACTCTATTTGAATGATTTAACTATTATTATTTAAAAATTAAATTAAATATTATAACTAATATAATCAAATTTCATTAATTTTAAGTAATTTAAATATTTTTATAGAATATTTTTAACTTGACATTATTAACATAAAATAAAATATTTTTATGTTAAATATTAAGAAAAGCAAATTCAATTTAAAAGGTTTACGTTGATTTAAAATTATTGAATGGATGTTATTTTTTATTTAAACTTTAAGTCTCATTTGTTAATCTATACTCACCCAATGATACGTTAGAATGGTTGGTCTAAAAATTTAAAAAGTTGTAGTTAATTAACTCAAATATTTTAGTTTAAATACCTTTTTAAGTTCATGTTAACTTTGAAACTTAGCAAATCAATCATTCTTGAAATACAATAATTTACTTCATATACATTTTGAAGGTGAATAAATAATATAAAATATATAATCTTATATTATTTTTATAATTTGAATTTTTAAATACCAAGATTAAAATATTTATTTATTAAATAGAAATATTAAAATAAAATTCTAAATATAATACTACATAATTATTAAGGAAAAATATAGAATGGACGTAATACATTGAAAATCCACCACTAATTTTACAAGGTGAAATTCATAAACGGATGTTATAAAATAGGGACAATTATTATTTGACATTACAAAGGTGATGCGTCATGTTAAATTAAAAGAAAATATCTTATTAATTTTAATTAAAAATAATTTTTATTAAGTTCGTTAAATTGAAAAAAATAGATAAAATTAAGTTAAATATTAATTTATAATTTCATATTATAAATATTGAATTTATATCATATCAATTACTTTTAAGTTTTGATGTATTTTTTTTATTAAAGTGATACTATATTTTTAGGATGCATTGTTTTAAAATTATGTTTGTTTTAAAATTATGTTTAAACTTTTTAAACAAAATTTAAATGTATGAATCACATCGCTTAATAATTTGATAATTAAATTTTAGATCTAAAAAGTTATAAATTTTTTAATTTTACAAATACAACAATAAATAAATAAATATTAAATAATTTGATGAATTAAAATATTCACAAATTTTTTTTAATTTTATGTATTTACATTATTTTTTAAAAAAATACAAAATTTTAATTCTTTTTAAATTTATCAAATTAAAAATATTGAAAATGAAAGTTTAGTTATAATTAAAGTCAAATAATTTTTTTATTAATTTAAATGTTATGCATCCCTTTAATAATATTTAATGATTGATACCTATTTTTAATAAAATTTAAAATATGCCAAGAAGTATTAACACGAATGGTTGAGATTCAAAAATTTGAGCTTATAAGGTCAAGTTCGAATCTTACCAATGTCACTCTTAGTGGATAATTTGTAAATTCCTATGTAAATCCTAATTGGATTTTAGGTATGCTTTAACTTGTATTAGATAGCCACCCCTAATCTAAATTTTTTTATACAAAAAAATGTTTAAAGTATAATATATATTTTGTAACTTTTAAAAATCTACTGAAAATTATAATCATTTATAAATTTTATCTTATTTTATATTAATAATATATATTGATGCATGTAACCACTGATGAACATGAACGTGACAATCCACACTGCGCTCATCCAAACTCTTTATTGATTCTAACGGATATTTAATGATGTATTTTGTTTCAGCCGATAAGCTTATGTGCCACCGATAGGGATGTTCAAATTTTTGAACTAATTCGGTTAACCGATTAAATCGAATTAGTTCGGTTAATTCGGTCGATTACTAAATTAGTTCGGTCGATCACCGAATTAACCCTTAAATATTTATTAATATTTTTTTCATCTCATAATATGTTGTCCCCCACTTTCTTTAATTGCTCATCGGTTATCAAATTTTTTACCTTGATTTGTGTAAAGTATGGGGTTATGGGCACGAGATGGGTGGAGGCGTGAAGCATGACTCTGCATGAGCAATACACTACCCTCCACTCTCTCCTTTTCCAATTCTCTATTCAGGGTTTCCTTCAAACTGATACTACTTAATATATTCTTTTATATAATATATACATGCGGGCAAATATTTATTATATAATTCATCAAGTGTTTATATAAAATTACATATCTTTATGAGTGGATGAAGTACTTGTTTATATATATATATACTTCATTACTATTTAAAATTTTAAATGTAGGTTAAAAATGATAAAACCCATCATACCATGTTTAATAATACAAATTAATAAAATATGTATATTTTTTAATCATTTAATTTTGGTAATGAAACAATTTTTGTCCCGGTGTTTTTGTTTGCTTCTATATCTATCTTCATTTTGAAACTCTTTATTTTTACTCTCTCTTAGGAGAAATAGCCTTTTTGTTCATTCTTTGCTTGAATTACAGAGTAAAATCTTGGGAACTTTTATGTGTTTTGGTTTGAGTTTTTTATCAATTGCAAAACTCAGGTTTATGCCATCTCCGATCACAATTTTCTTGCCTTCTTCATCCACTTCATGTTCAAGAGGCTAAGTCCTACATAAAGGAGCTAGCTATCTTCCTGATTGTAGCATCAGAAAAATCAAGCATTTCACCTAGCAATAGTAGCTATCTTCATGCACCATTTATTTTGTAGAATTTCAAATTTGTTGGTTTGTTTGAACTAAATTGATAGATACAAATATCTTATTTTAATATAATGTTTGAATCGAATTAATTAGATATTATAAACTATTTTTTTAATTAAAAATATTAAATTCAAAAATTCTAAAAAATTTCGGTTAATTCAAAAATTAACCGAAATTTATTCGGTTCGGTTAATACTTTCATAAAAAAGTTCGGTTTGGTTAATGATTAAAAAAATTTTGATTAATTTAATTTAGAATATTTCAATTTAATTCGATTTTAACCGAATGAAGAACCTAACCACCGAGGATAAGGGACCAACTAAACTGTGCCCACTGATGAAGAGCATAGTGTAATCATATCTCAGGCAATCTAGCTGTCTTATCTTTGTCTTTAAAACATAAGCCACGCAACATGCTAAATGACTAGGCAAGCAGCTTCATCAACAAAAATTTTCAACTACTGCCTCACAGCTCGTTAAATGAAAGTGACGTGACCGGTTATATTTTAAAATCAATTTTTCAACATGTGCAGATAGGATTCATGACTTCAATTTGAAAAATGTTTTCATTTTGAAAAATTTTAAATTATTATATGTTTTAATCTTTATATTTTTATTGATAATTTAATTTCATTCCTCAAATTTTTATAAATTTAATTTTTTAAAATTTTAAAAATTTATTTCCATAACATAAAATATTCCGTTGAAACTGTTAGAAGCAAATTGACATGCATTCTATGCTTTTGAAAGTCTAATGCAAAGAACATGGATTGATTGAAGGATATTGGTTGCAGTCATATTTAAAAAAAAATTGTTGCCTTCTCAGTTTTAAAGTTTAGTTTTGACTAATTCAGATTAATCAGTGTCGCACACTTAGTTTTAGTGGATAAATCTTTCAATAGAGATTTTTAATATACGTAAAGACTAAAATTAGAGACATTGCTTAAGTAATATCAAACTGCTTACCACTTAAACTAATCCCTATTGGTAAATTTTTTAAATTTTTATATAATTTAAATATTTTTTTATAATTTTATTGATAATTTAATTTTATATCTTTAGAATTTTATAAATTTATACTCTTAGATTTTTAATATTATAATTTTTAAAATTTGTATATCTAACGTGAAATTATATAAGTGCATGTGTAAGCACAAAGAAAATCCACTCTCGAACTAGGCATTCTCTGTAGCGCGAAAAACAGTAAGTTTAATAGCATTAGACATGAAAGAACATACCTGCTCATGGGATTTTGTTTGTGTGTTAGATATTGGGGAATCTCCACTCTCGGGTTCTGATCGGTTCAATGCTCTCTCTACAATCGGAGGGGTTGAAACGGTGCTAGGACTACCAGAACTGGGATCCTGTGGATTACTTTGAGTTCCAGCCTCTCTAGTCAATCCCTCAGCTGTCGTTTCTGCGAACAAATGGTTATCTAAAACTTCAAGCCAATCTTCAATCAAGCAATTTCAACACTAGCAAAATGATTAGAAAAGCTAAAACCAATCGGTACATTAATGTTTAATCGGATTCATTAAATTCAAATCCTTTGGATTCAGATAGTGCTTCAATATACTCGATTAAGATGGGTTTTTAATTCACAGGTTAAAAGTAGTAATAATTCAAACTGAATATTAAAAAAAATTAAAATAAGTGCAATCAAGTTGGGTTGATTTTGATGTTGAGAAACCTGGAATAGGGAAGTGAGCAATGTCTTCCTGAAGTGTTCTTGAGGGGTAAACCAGAGGAGTAGAAACGGTGATTTTGTTTGTTAATTTGCGAAATGATCTTCCACTCAGTGTTTTTGCAGACAAACATTCCATTGGGAACTCTCCCGAAAGAGGATTGCAAATGTATTTCTCAGCTTCATTCCACTTGGAGTTTAAAGCAAACCCTTCCGGTGAGCATTCCAAGCTATTATACAATGACCGAGCCTGTAATGCTGCACAATAAGAAAACCAGTTAAGTCGGTTCTTAAATCGAGTACGAGAATGTAAGTTCCGAATGTAATTGGAGGGCTCTTGGATTATATCAAATCTCTATAGGCATATCGGAATATGGATCTGAGAGTTAAATCTATGTTACTTGAACTTTTATGTAAACTGAAATTATTCTTTATGCATATTCTAATATGTTCCATACATTGTTTCTCCACAAAAATATTTGAAGAACGATGATTTAGAAGTTACCTTTAAGAGCTGTAGTGAATGAATAAGTTGAAGGATCGAAGCCATCTGTAAAAGTGAATAAAAAAATGATGCGAAAGTTTCAGATTAAAATAATACTGAATTCAAAAATCAAAACCAAATTTCTCCATGAAAAATGAGCAAGAGATGTACCTTTGAATGACCACCCCGGAGACGACGTAGCGCTGGAAATGGTGAAGTTGGATCGGAACGAACTTGTAATTTCTCTAGAATTTCCGAGATATGAACCTGAATATCTTCTCGAAACAGTGTTTTCAGGGCGGATTCGAGCTTTAAGATCCCACTCTTTCAAACTAAACTCCGATTGTTCATCATTTCGCCGCGAAGAAAATTGTTCCACGGAGGACGCCATGAATGAAGCTACAATTTGAACCTGAAGGTTTTCAAATTTCAAAATCCGCCTGGAATTTAAAGCCTGGCCACCATGGATAGTAAAATATCAGAAATCCGAAATTATCTTGTGTTCCATTTCCTTAATGCATTGTTCGGGTTTTAATGCTAAATTTATTATACTCGGAGCAAATTTAAATTCAAATTAATCCTTGAATATTTGAATTCACTTTCATTTTCCGAAGGAAATCTCGACCTTTCTAGGATTTTTTTTTTTGTTAATCGATTTTAAACCCCTTTACAAATCAAATTTTATGTACTTATGCTCTAACTTCTTAGCTTTACTTTTTTTTTTCTACCCATATTTTAATGCTAAAATTATTATTCTCCGTCAATCAAATTTAATTTCAAATAATAATAACATTTGAATATTTCAATCTATTTTCATGGACTAGATTCATGATCTTCTCGTATGAATAACATACTCAAATATTTGCATCCAATTGCATGAATCAAGTGACCTCTATAGGAAAAAAATTATTGTTATTTCTTGAGTTTGAGCACTAGCGATGTCAGATGTATAAACTTTTAATGTCAAATAGTTGAGAGTTATATTTAAACAAATATTACTTTGTACTTACCCGGATTACTAAAAAAACATTTGCATCCCATTTTTATTTACGAATATAATTTGTACATTTTATTTTTCAAGTTAAAATAGTTTGAATACTTGGGATAACTTAATTCATGAGATGTAAAATTGTCTTTTGAAATAAGATCATATCATAATATAATATTATTTACCTTATATTACTTTTTGTGGCTTATTTGGTAGGCACAATTTGATTGAGGAAATATAAGTTATTCTTTTTCAAAAGCCTATTTGAGAGTTTTTTTTTTCTCTTTTTCCAAATATTTTTAGGGTAAAGTATATATAAATAGTCTCTAAACTTTTAGGGCACTTGCATTTTGATCACTTAACTTTTAAAATTTACAATATAATCATCAAAATTTTAATTATTTTTCAATAAGGTCTCTGTCGTTATTTCCAGTTTGTTTTTATCGATCGGAACTTAACTCTCGTGACCCCCTCTTCTTCTTCTTCTACTTATTCTTCTTCTTATTAAATCACCAACTTATACTCCTCCACCGAGACCACAGATGAGGTGATAAACAAAGTTCATGAAATAATCTATCTCCCACAACCAGCAATAATCCTTCAAACAACATTCATTAAATGGGCAAATAAAAGATATGGGAGACTGTCCCTCACTCTATTCCGTTGATTTTCCTATTCCAAACTTCTTAAATTTCATTTAGATTTTGTTCGATTCCCCCTTTCCCTTTTAGTATTAGCTATTTGGCCTTAAAATTTTCTCTAATCTAACAAAACTGAACTTTTATATGCAACTTCTTGATATATTTATCATTTCAAGATTTCATCTTTGGGTTTCCTTCAAAGTAGGAAACTTCTTGAGGGGTGAAAAACATTTGATATTCTTTTTTGCCCATTTTTTGTCTCTTTTAAATCCCCATTTTTTGAATGCCAAAATCTACCAAACCTAAAGATGGATCTGAAATTGATATAGATACATTCAAGATCCATACTTTTTAGCTCTTTCAGTCATATCTAACAAACCCCATTTCACTATTCCAGCAAATTTATTGCTTCCATGAAGAGTTCAGTTAGACCTCTTATAAGCATTTTGAAGTTTTTTGCATTGGCTGCAACATTGAGCTGTCGGCTTGGGTGGAGGAGCATATAAGTTGGGAGAAGAAGAGAGTTAATGAGAGTTAAGTGTCACGTCAGCAAAAACTAATAGAGGTAACGTCAGGGATTTTACTGAAAAATGAATTAAAAGATCGATTATTGTATTGCAAGTATCAAAAGTTGAATGGCCAAAATGCAAGCGCCCTAAAAATTTAAATACTATTTATATACTTTACCCATATATTTTTATTATGTTCTTTTTTCGATATGTGAGTATTCAATTAAGTCAAAATATCTTCAGAGGGTTAAACAGTTCTTCCAAAAATATGTTTCTTGACTAATATAAAAAGAAATATCATCGCATCCAATTGTCCTTTTAATTTCTCTTTTATTCTTAATTTTATTTTATTTTAGTCTCAATTCTTAATTGTTTATTTCCAGAATTAAGTTAAGAGAGTATCTCAAAGGCTGTACTGCAACTCCTTTCGAAACCCTAACTGAATCCTTCATCATATTCTTTCTTTTATTTGTATTTTTTGGTTCATGTCTTTCTGTTTTAATCATTTTAAAATTATTGGTTTTAATCTTTAAAATTTTAAAATATTCAAAAAGATTATTTGATTCGCATGCTATCAATTTTTTCATACTTCATTTTTTTCTCATAATTTAAATCAAATAAATATACATATAAATTATTTTCATATTATATTCATCTAATATAATCGTACCATAATCTAACATTACAGATTTTTCCGCAAATAAAAAATGAAAACCAACAATTAATTTGTTGTTTGAGATTTTTCTCCCTTTCGCTCTTCTTTCACAGCAATGAACTCTTGGTTGATAAATTTTGGACCTTTTTTTTTTCTTTTTGATTAGTAATTTTGGACACTTAAATGTGCAGGTTTAAGGTATAAATGTATTAAGAATTATTTGTTTATATTAATGGGTATACCAAAAAATTAAGAAAAGATAAAATGACAGGACATTTAGAATCTTGGTTTTTGATGATGAATAAAAGGAATCGAGGATTTGCAACTTGTTGTGCCACATACCAAAATTGATTGGCCAGTGATGCATGTGAATGTGAATGTGAATGTGAATGTGAATGTGAATGTGAATGTGAATGTGAATGTGAATGTGAATGTGCATGTGAATGTGCATGTGAATGTGAATGTGCATGTGAATGTGCATGTGCATGTGAATGTGCATGTGAATGTGCATGTGCTTGTCATTCATCACAAAGAAGAAATGGAAAGGCGTAGTTTTTCTTTGTAACGTAGGTTTCACCGAAAGGGAGAGGCCGTCTCTCCCACTAGTTTGTATCTCCCTTTCGTTTCATCTTTGAAAATGCCAGATTATACAAATATCTTTCCAAAAATGTTATGCAACCACATGGATATGTTGGATCAGGTCGTCTTTAACCTCAACCTCATCCTAATCATATTTTGTTATCAAGTGACACTAGTTGGAATCTTCATCATTCTCATTTTGGTTGCAACTTGCAGTTAACTGGATTCGGAAAACGAAGAATTTCACTCAAATTAACTTGTTGAAGATTATATAAATGTATAACTTAAACATGAATACATGAATTAGAAAATCGCCCCTTCAAATTTCAATCCTCAAATGTTGACACAAGTGACTAACCTTTAAAAGAAAGTAACACAGCAATGGAGTTTGATAAAGGATCGTAGACACTAGCTGCCATCTTTTTGTCACCTCATCTTGTCAAGGTGTAATTAATTGCATGGCGGCAAAGATGAAATGGACTGATGCAACGACCAAAGCTTCAGTTGAGGTTCTGATGTAAATGGTGTCTGCAGTAGTTACCAAGATTTGACCCCCTCGGCATCCGAGTCGATTCTGTATGTTACAGACAAGTAAATTATAGCTCGATAAAGCAAAAGAACTTTCAACCGTAAGCCACATTTTCACAATCAAACCCCTTAATTGGCTATGCATGCAGTAAGCTTCTCGCCATCTAGAGTTTATAGAAATATTTCAGTTTCAGCCACTTAATGGGATAAGACTCGACCAATTCGAACCTAATTGGTTCTTGAAACCAAACCATAGTTCCAACTTTCAAGTTCAACTTATGTTACTTGGACTCAAGTGTGAATACCCGATGCAGATGTGTTCAACATGGTTATATTCAATTATTTTTAAGTTTTCTATATAACTGGAGGACCTTATTATCCTAATCAAATATTCGTTGGACACAAGTCCCAAACCTACCATAAATACCATGTAGGAGCACAATCATAAATCGGTCTGCCCTACATAATTTCATATGTTAAATTAACCAATATTTATTATGATAAACTTTAACTTCATGTTATTATACATACCTTCAAGAGGTAGATGTCCTCGAAGTCTTATGCACAATAAGACACATGACAACTGCAGATCGTAACTTTAGACTCCTTTGTTCTCCAGATGTAAGATAGCCAACTAAAATTCAGGGAATGGCAATCTCAGAACCGATTAATAAACAGTTTGAAAAAGAGTTCACACGTACTCACTAAAAACACGCGTCTGGGAACAAATCGAGGGTATATAATCACCAAAACACAACCAGGAACAGAAATTACCAACAAAAAGATTCAACGAAATCGGTAGAAGGGCATCCAACTTCAAGATTATCTTGTACTAAAGAAAGCAAGACACTCACCGCACAAAAAGATATGGTTGCCAAACCACTTCAGGAGACCGTATACGCATACAAGCTTCCTGTTCAGTATAGGTAGGTAAATTCACGAACTTAGAAAACTGAATTATGCAAAGAGCAAAAACATGTTCATGCAAAACTGGGATCAAAGTGAAAAAGGAAAGGGGGACAGAGAGTGGGGCATATATGTGTAAGCAAAACTGTATATGTAATTATGCTCATAAGCTATCACACATATAGCTCCAAAACCAAATCATCTGACATTGACGAGATGAATTGCACATTCAATTAACTTTACAGTTTTCCGTGGAAAATATGAACAGAGATTATATAGGCCAACACTTCCAGTTAATTTCTAATTTCAAAGAGCATTTCTCACAGATAGAATATATGTTCCTCCAACTATTTTTGTGAAGTATCCGTTTCCAATGTTCTTGTTTGACAAATACCTCTAATGATCCTCCAAATAAATGGAAAAACGAAAAAAAAAATAACCATACCATGCCAGACAAATAGTTGTATCATACACACCCAAATCCATGTAACATAGGATAGAATACCCTTGAAAGAAGAAATGAGGGGTTACCTTGTCCAAGGATCAAAATACTGTTTGCAGCCGTAGGTATCATATCTTGGATCTTTTCGTTAGTAAAAATTGCTTGAACAACTAGCAAATAAAACAAGAAAAATAGTAAACCGTCTCTCCTAAATGTTAGGAGAAAAAAATCTCTAAAATTAAATTTTATCACACCCTATAAAGGGCAATGGGAACAAATCAATCACGCTCGCACACACGCTCACACATATATATCGGTAATAAAGTGATTGATGAATTAAGTTCTGAAGATCTCTGAACTATCACAAGCAAGAATAAAAAGTGTAAGGACCACACCATATAGGAAGCCAAACTATGTTAGAGAATATGAAAGTATTCTCCAAATATAGATAAATGTAGACCGTACAAATGAAAAATTAAATTAATTAAATCAGAGGATTTATAAACTTGAGATTCATATTGGCGGATTCCTCACTCTCTCTTTTATCAGTTTCATTTACAGCAGAGCTAATGTCCACCACGTGCATGGAGTGATGCCCATCTGATATCCAAACAGTTTGTCTTCCTACGAAATTAGAAAAAGTATCGTTTAGTGGCATAGATGTGATGTAAAGATCAACCATAAAACATTTCCCCTATGAAGCTACGGCCAAATGTCATAACGTTAACAAAGTTCCACAGAACTTCCTTTTACTGACCCATTTTATTTTTCTATTCCTTTTCATTAATACGAGTTGTTTATCATAGCATTTTACTTCTATGTTCCAACCCCAATCTCCCAGTAGCATTTAGTAAAGAACAAGGGAAAGGCTCCACCATCTACTTCGTTTCCTAGGTATCCAGAATAGTCCCCCATGCAATAATTCTGAATCGCATGCCTTTGTGGACCATGGAAGCATTTCTAATAAATGAAGCCTTTGGAAAGATTAAAAATGAAGTAGAGAAGCTTACTTGAGGAAACATCGGGAAAAACAGCCATTTTGTGCACCTTCATAACATGTGGCAATCGCCTCATGTAGCAGGTGGCATTTGATCCAAGAGCTGTGTCTGTTACATGCAAGATAAACAAATCTCCAGCAGTATCCAAGACCAAGAACCTCGTCGAGGACAATGGTTGAATTGAAATTGCCTTCAAGGAAATAGATGGCACATTCATAGATTTCAAGCCCTTAACCTCCTGCTCAAATGGCACAAACAACACTCCTAATTCGGCCAATTCTTGTCTGCATTTACCAGACCTCGGCTTCACTGTAAATCAAGATGCCAATCAAAGGAAAAAGGGAACCAACCTCAAAGTCAACTTTCTCAGTACTTTAAATATATATATATATATAAATAATTATAGCAAAAAGGAACAAATTATTAGCCAAGTACTTAGAATGTGTAAGTGTCGTATATTAATCTTTGTAGTTACTATAAATACAGTGAACAGTGTAGATATCACATCTACTAGTCTATTTAAAAAAAAAGAGAGAACATATATGAGAGCTCTTAATCAAGCATACTTTATACTTACCATCTCGATACATCATTAAGATTTGAACCAAATTGCAGCATCTTGCTTACAATGGTCAACATGTGCTTGGTTAAATAGATACAAAAGCAAGCTAGGGAAAATAATAAATTACACATATTTCAGCAGATGTAGTATGAGCCTATGCAAAGGATTTCCGAGTAAAGCCAACTAAGTGAAGTTACACTGTCCTGCCAAATTTTATCGCCAGAAGATTCAAGACAAATAGAACTTATTACTCAAATTTATAAGGTCCCATTAAATCCCGAATCAATTAACCAATATTTAATTTTTGTTTGATAAGGCTCAAGCTAGAATCATAAAATTGGCTATGCTCCTTGAACTAATAATCTAACTCATGTAACAAGAAATCGACAGCAGATAGTGTTCACATGTGCCAATTTTTAATTATATGATTTGGTGAATTCCTCCTGCATTATCAGGTATTTAAACCTCTTCTTATAAGATTGAAACTCAGAAATGTTTTTACACCCAGCACTCTTCAGAGTCCAGACCCTCCTTTATCTCCTGTAAACTATCTATAGATGACATCGCAAACGAAGCATTGATCTACTTAGCATTCAAAGTTCCTTCTTCTAAAGACCATGCATCCCAAAGACTTTAACATAAAATGCATTAAAAATATGGGTACAGGGTTGTCAAGGCCATGTGCAAGTGAAATGACACACAATGTGTATACATATGTATCATTGTATGTCTGCCTTTACACATATATGTATTAGTATATGTATGTATAAAATAAGCTTATGATACATAATTATGGTAATAAATTCTAAAGTGATTAATATAAGGATGCCACTATTCTGAATCAATTGAGCATTGTTGAAAGTAAAATTGCTAACAATTATAGAATAAACTACATAATCCATTATATCTTTCAGAAAACCAATTCATAAGCAAGAAAAGTAAAGCTTAAACACAGAACTAACCTGAAACAATAGGCTTTTCAATCTTTCCATCCAAATAGCCATTAGGAACAATATCTGAACAACTAGATCCACAATTGGAAACACCATTGTTAGCTCCACTTACACCATCTGAAAGACCGTAATTCTTCACTTTCTTGACCTTTTTCCCTTTCACCAATTCTCTTAAATTCCAAACTTTAACCCCGTTTTCCTCCCCTAAAACCAACCACTCAAATGAAATACCGATTGAAAAAACAGGCTTCAAACAATCAATCACAGCAAATTTCATGAGTTTAAAAGCGACCCCGTCAACAATTTCATCAATATCATCCACCAATTTAACCCCAAAGATCAAAACTTTGGAGCTTGAGACTGAATACAATGCGAAGAAATTAACAGACCCAGAAATCATGAGTTTCAAACCGTGACTGACATCAATCAAAACCCCAACTTTATCATCAAAATCAATACCCTTTTGCTTGGGAACAACAACTTTAGCCTTCTCAAAAGCCTTTCTACCATCATTCCTATAAAGAAAAAATCTAAGGAGAACCTTGGAACCACCTTTATAAGGACCTGCAACGATGAAAAGGACTCTGGGATCACGATTTTTTTGGGTTTTTTGGAGAAGGAAAGTGGAGGACGATGATGGAGAAGGAATAGTAAGGGAGTTTTTGTTGGAAGAGAAAGGCAAAGAAATAGAAGGAAAAAGGGAAAGAGAAGAATCAGAGTGGAGAAGGGCAAGGGAAAAAGAATGGGGTTCAAATAGGAGAGATGTTGGAGCTTTAGAAGAAGAAGGTGAGGAGAGAGGAGTTGGGAGATCGATCTTTGAAGCTTGGCAAACAACCATTGAGTTTTCTAACACCCGAAATTCGATCTTTCTTGTTGGTCTGTGAGTTTGGGTTTTTGGAATGAAAGAAAGGAAAGAAAGTCAACAAATTTATATGATGCAAAGGTTAGATTTTCGACTTCGGGCAAAAGTGTGGGGAAAAAGTTTAGAGCTTATATATATATATATATATAATAACAAAGGTAAGAGCTGTTTTTTTTTTTATCGTCTTGGTCCTAGGTAGGTTTAGAAAATCGGGTCATATATATATATATGATTATTGATATATAATTTATTAATTAATTAATCTAAATCTACAATTATACAAATTCTTTATAAAGTTAATTCTTTAAATTCAAATTTTTTCTTTTAAATGTTAGTACACTTTTAGTTAAAAGAATGTTAATATACTTAATTTTAATTATTTATTTTATTATTTTTATTATTAATAAATATATTTTATATTAATCTTAAGAGTTTAATTTAAATTAAAATAACATTATAAAATCAATTTTTAAATATTCATTAATAATATTATCATATTATACTTATTTAATTTTTAACAATAATATAATATTCAATAGAAATAAATTAAGTTAAAGTATATAAGCATAAAAAATATCTTATTTTATCTAAAAGTTCATTTTAATATCTATATTATAAAAAAATCATTGAGTGATGTTAATAATGAAAAAGAAATATTATTACTTTTTAAAAATTTAACTTCGGCTAGTTACGTCTGCAAAGTAAACTTTAATTTCTATATTATAAAAAAATCATTAAATGATCTTAATAATGAAAAAGGAATATTGTCCTTTTTTAAAAATTCAACTTCGACCAATTACGTCTGCAAAATGTGTATATCTTATCATAAATTAAGAAAATTTTAAACAAATAATACTTTATAATTATTTAAAACAGTTAAAAAATAACATACTAATCTAAAACTCATGTCATGTATTAATATAAAATATTAATATTATTATAGATAATTTTTGTTCACTCATTTTCAAAATTTAGATTTAAGAGCTATTTTGTCATTTTTAATATACTCAGTTTATCATTTTCGCCCTTATGATATTTTCATATTAATTTAGCTCTCGAAGTTATTCAATTGCAATATTCTAAACCCTAAAATCTTAAAACCTTAACTCTAACTTAAAACCCTAAACAATATCAAATATTTTAAACATTGATGCAATTAAAAAACTTCGAGGACTAAATTGATTCGAAAATACCTTAAGAGCGAAAACGATAAATTAAGTATACTTCAAAAAAAAAATAGCCTCAAGTCTAAAATGTATATTTAATAAATATTACTCATTTTAATCTCGATATACTTCAAAAACAATTAAACCATAAATAAATATCGGGGCATATTACTACTTAAAAAGTGACTTTATACTAATAATTTATTTTTTATTTTAAAAAAAATGTTCACATAATACATAAATAAGTAATAAGCACAAAATAAAACGGATTTAACTAAAGGAGAAAGCATAAAAGATCGATAAGTCATGGCCAGTAGCCATACAGGTCACCTCATTTTCTGCCAGATGGTCTCGTGGGTTCAAGAAAAATACAGTTTATGTTGTCCAATACCATGTGTATATCTTCAAATATTGGTTTCATGGAACAGGACACTTGTATTTCCCAATTAGAAGAAAATCTTATGAACAAAATTATTTGTGCTCCATATGCTGCAGAGTAACTTTAGTAGATGACATGCTTGTTCCTTGCACCGGATTGCACATCCATTAAATGTTTTGTCCTGAGCTTGTCTTAAAGTCCAATACACCAGCAAATGCCATGCCATAGAGTCCTCACAACGGTATAGTAAAGATATTATTGTTTCATATTAAATAAATATTTGTTGTACCTCCTTCATCTCTCTTTTGCAAATCACACATATGCTGTCATTCCTCGAACTTTTCGGAACTCCATATCCTCTGAGCAACTACTATCCCTTGACATGATCACTAAAAAAACCACGTGATCTGTCAGACAATCAATTCTATTCACCCTACCAACTTGTAATAGCTATCATCATTTTAGGCCTGACACCAACACTAATGATCTGTATATAGCCACCAATATAAGGCTGGAAGGACTCTCTCTATCTCTCTAGAAGCTTCTATCAAGGTTCATCATCTCCTTGAGCTCATCTACTCTCTACCTCCTATACATAACCATCGATTACAACTCTCTGTCCAAACCAAAATTGGTGAATCGCCAAACACAACGGCAACCCCATTTCTCAAATCATCAGTATCCAAAATAAAAAAAAAAGGGAACCAAACAATATAGTTTCTATCATAAAGGGATATCACTGTATGATAAAAACTCAAGTTTACACATCCTAAGATAAAAAATAATAATTCTCCTTCTTCACTAAGCTAAATTTCAAGCAAATATCCCAAAATTTGTCATTATAAGAATCTAGAAGCAACTTTTCCCTCAAACATGTTCATTTTCTTAGAAATAAAAAACACAATATGAAGGGCAATTAGTAGAAGTACTAAGTTGTACCCAGGCAAATTCATGTTTGTAACCTACACCTTCACAAGAGGTTTCATATGTATATACCGCGATCGTTGCCCAGTCAAGAGAATCCGCATCATTCTTCACATCAAAGTAATAAAGCAACTGAGGCAATATCTGAACAACAAATATGCAAAGAACTTGTATTAGAAATTTCCTTTTTCAAGCGAACATAGAGATCTTTAAAGATTGTAGTGGAGTATTGATGTTTTTTCGCTTGTTTTTGATAGATAATTGGCTTCCACGAGGGTAAGATTACCAAGTACCTGAAATTCGAAACATAGGCGACCACCACAATAGTTGCGTAAGGGAATATCAGCATTGGAAAGTCGACCACCTAAGATGGGCCACAGTGGTTTAGAACCAGCGCTCCTAGAATATCTGTTATTGTTAAAACAAACATGAGCAACATAAGAAATCAAGTAATTAAAAAAAGAACAAAGGAACGACTTTAAAGAAAAAGCATAAAATCACTATTGGAATAAACTCCACCCTAGTAACAAGTGGATATGTAATTCTAAATGCGATATCTTCATTTTTTTCAGTTATTTCTTTGGATGAATTTTTTTTATGGATTAAGTATAACTTTTGAATGAGCTGTAATTTGTTGCTTAAATAGGGTGATTTAAAAACAGCTTTGTATCTATATCTGTAGAATTCAGAGTAATTCTCTGTAATTTCTTATTCTTTTCAATATGACATATTACATATTTATATACAAAATATCTCTCTAAAGTAGGAAACTCTAAGAAAGGAAAAATAATAATCCTAGGATATGATCCCTTAAAATAAGGGATTGTAGAAATCTATTTACAAAATCATATCTCTATAGGAATGGTAACAAATCATATCTCTATAGGAATGGTAACAAATCATCTCTATAATTCCTACACTCCCCCTCAAGCTGGAGAATATACATTGTATAATCCCAGCTTGAATAGAAATTTATTGAAAACAAGCTTTGGCAAAGCCTTAGTAAGAATGTCTGCAACTTGTTCTTCTGAAGGAATGTATGAAAGTGTGGTTGTCTTTTTGTTAACTTGATCAGCAATAAAATGCCTATCAATCTCAACATGCTTTGTCCGATCATGTTGAACTGGGTTCTTGGCAATTTGAATAGCAGATTGATTATCACACAAAACTTCAAAGTGATCCTCTTGATTAGTGACAAGTTCTTTCAGTAGTTTAAGTAGCCAAATTCCTTCGCATATTCCCAATGCTAGTGCTCTAAATTCAGCTTCAGCACTACTTCTTGAAACGACAGATTGTTTCTTACTTCTCCAAGTTGTAAGGTTTTCCCAAACAAAGGTGCAGTAGCCACTAGTGGATCTCCTTTCAGTAAGGTCTCCGGCCCAACTAGAATCTGTAAAGATCTTAACAGTTCTGTCTTCTGTCTTCTTAAACATTAAACCGTGTTCTGGAGTTTTCTTCAAGTACTTGAGAATTCTATTTGCTGCTGCCATATGCTCTTCAGTAGGATTAGTCATGTGTCGACTTATCACATTTACAGGAAATGCTATATCTGGCCTTGTCAAGGATAAATAAATTAGTTTCCCAACTAATCTTTGAAATTTCTCTTTGTCTACCAAGGACCCATCTTCTTTGTTAAATTTCAAGCTTGCATCCATTGGTATATCAATCGGATTACAACCAAGAAAACCAGTTTCTTTGAGTAAATCAAGTACATATTTTCTTTGGTTGATCACAAGTCCTTCTTTTGACCTTGCCACCGCCATTCCTAGGAAATACCTTAGCTTTCCCAAGTCCTTGGTTTCGAATTCTTTATTTAACAACTTCTTCAAATTGCAAATCTCTTCTTCATCATCTCTGGTAAGAATTATGTCGTCCACGTACACAATAAGGATAGCTTTCTTATTTGTAGAAGTTACCTTGATGAAAAGAGTGTGATCGGTGAGGGATTGCTTGTAGCCGTTTTTTAGGATGACTTTAGTGAACCTCTCGAACCAAGCTCTGGGTGATTGTTTTAACCCGTATAGAGACTTGTTGAGCTTGCACACCTTGTTACTTCCTTCAACAGACTTTAAGCCAGGTGGCAACTTCATATAAACTTATTCTTCTAGCTTGCCATTAAGAAAAGTATTTTTTACATCAAGTTTGTGTAATTTCCAATCGCAATTTACAGCCAAACTTAAGAGTACTCGAACAGTATTCAGCTTCGCCACAGGTGCAAAAGTTTCTGTGAAATCTATCCCATATGTTTGTGTAAAGCCTCTGGCCACTAGTCTCGCTTTGTATTGTTGGATGCTACCATTTGAGTTATACTTTACAATAAAGATCCATTTACATCCAACAATCTTTTTTCCTTGAGGAAGGTCCGTAACAGTCTATGTAGCATTTTTCTCCAGTGCACAAATTTCCTCTTCAACAACCCTTCTCCATTTTGAATCCTTTAGAGCTTCAGCTATGCTTGTGGGAACCTGTTCTTTATCCAAGTTTGATGTAAATGCTTGAAAAGATGACATCAATGAATTATAACCAGCAAATTTTTCAATAGGATGCTTGGTGCATTGTCTAACCCCTTTTCTAATAGCAATAGGGAAGTCATCTAGAATAGGGG